GTGAGTGAAGAGAATACATTTGGTGAAAAGTACTACAAACTAGGGAGAGAGAACACTACACAGCAACCGTTACGGGGTTTTTGTTGGTGGCATTGAGTGAGTGTCAACAGAGAGAAAGAGCGAGAGAGATAAAATTACCAACAATCAAAAATAACAATTTATATTTAAGAGAATTTCAAGGGGGGATTACTACGTTCAGGTTTAGTGTAAAAAATAATAATAATAACAACAAAATAATGATTTTTAAATAAAACTAAAATACAGGGGGGAAATGGAGAGGTACAAAATACAAAAAATACATATTGATAATAAATAATTAAAACAAAATTGCTGGAGAAAAATATAAAAATAAAAAATGATGACGTTATTTATTCCAAAGGAAATAGGGGTTATTTTAGAAACAAGTTAGTTTGGAAAATAATGAAAATTATTTAGCATTTGTGTTAGAAAAAATAACCACAACAAATTTAAGAAAATAATGTTAAATCAATTGCCATTAAAAATAAATTTAAAAATTACTATTAATTATGATGCATTTTTTTGTTTATATTTAGGTTAGTAACATTTTTAACACCAAGCCATTCCAAAAAGTGTGAATATATATAATATTTAATAAATAATATATCAGTATTATAATATCAGTAATTTTGTATCCAATATGGATTAGTGGAAACCGACCAGTTGACCCACAAAAATATAACCTCAAATTCTTTAAGAATTTGTTAAGTGTTGTGGTGGAATATTATTTCTTTAAAGAGGGGGAGAAGGGTAAATATTTGAGAAATTTACCAATATTATTAGTTTGTTTTATTATTATTTTGGGTGTATAACAGTGTTTAGCCTCTTCAACTAAAACTGTAAAAATAAATTATTTAGTAAATTAATTTGGTGGTATAAATAAATTAATATTTCTTGTATTATTTTTTTGAAAATTTACATGGTATGCTAGATTATGTATTATATTTATTAATATTTGTATAAACAATTTTTTCTTAAAATTATTTTTTTTCTTTAAATTAATTCAATATGATATAAGACAAAGAGATGATGTTTTGTTAATATTTTTTTTATATTTTATATAAAGAATGGTATGGTTTTATATATATTAATTCCCATGATTTTTATTCCCAACACTTGAATTTCCCATGAATTTATTCCAGATATATGTTTATAATAAAATTAAAACAGACACTGAAATAAAAATTACTTACCGCCTTCACATAAGCAGATGAGTTAAATAACAAAAAATGAAAAAGAAAATCAATATTTACAGAAGAAAACCTAAAGAATGCTATGGCAAAAACGGGAATAATATATTTTTTAATTACTTCCCTCATTAGCAAACCTTAGAAGAAGGAAATTGAATAGGGTATGTATTTAAAAAACAAACACCTGAATCATGGCAGTAAGCAAAATAAAATATCGTTAAAGTTAAAGAAATTAAGAGAAAAATACAATCAGAGTGCCATATTGCGTATAACTAATATTAATTAAGTTTATTTAGGCGTATGAAATATTAAAAATATAAAATAATCATACGCCACACATTAATATATCTTGTTTTCTTTTTGCTTTTTTTAGTAAGTTTTAAAATTTCTTAATCTTTTTTTAATATTGTAAACTATGAGTAAGATATTAGAAATTAAGAAGAAAATTTTTTAAAAAACATAATTGAGATTTTTGTCCTTATTTTTGGTTTCTGATTGGTACAATCCATAAATGATAATATCATAGACCAAAATTGCGTATAACTAATATTAATAAAGTTTAGGCGTATGAAATATTGTTGATTACTAGTAATCATATGCCGCAGTATTAATCTACCTGTTTTTTTTTTTTGAGTTTTAAACTATGAGTAAGCTATTAGAAATTTAGAAGAAAATTTCTTTTTGTGAAATTTGTGTCCTTATTTTTGGGTTTCTGATTGGTCAATCCATAAATGATAATGTCATTGACCCATATTGCGTATAACTAATATTAATTAAGATCAAAGTTATTGTAGTACTTTTTTTAAAGCATGTTTTTGAAATAGTTTAAACTAATTTTTTGTATTTATTTTTTTACTATAATCAAAATAATTTATTGACCTCAAAATAATTGAATTTGCAAAAATGTGAAATAAATTAAAAAATTATAATAATAATAATTAAAATAAAAATTAAAAAAAATATTAATATGATTCTTAGTTTAGACCCTATATAAGAGGATCTCTCATGTGTCGTAATTTGATATATAGGATTCTTATGGGGTAGAAAAGTATTATCAATATTGCGCCAAGTTTACATTTTCAATATAAGACCATATTTTTACATAGCCTTTCAAATAAAAGTTACGACTTCGGAGAAATTTGAATAACGATCCGGGGATCGATCTCTGACACATTATCTGAATTCAGTGCATTTTAACCGATCATAATATGAAATTTATGAGTTATCCGCCGTACATGCTTTATTTGGCACGGTATGTCCAACGTCCATGCCAAGTTTGTGGTCATTCTTCGATCGATTTAGAAATTTTAGAATTTTCACCTCCTAAAGGTTAGTATAAAAAGTTCGGGACAGCCTTAAAATTTAGTTTCGTTTTTATTTGTTCAAGATTTTTTTTAAAGAATTTTAAGGGGCCACGATAACCATTTTTGCTTTAGGGATCGCAAATTACAAAAAATATAAATTTTAAGAAGTGAAAAGTACTCAAATGGCGTATGGTTAATATTGTGCATTTAAATAACTCCAACGCACCAATATATAATAATAAAAATTACTTATACGCAACCTAGCCTAATTTTAACATAAATAATATTAATACTATATTTTATATATGCATGGAGTCGACTCTCGACCCAGAGACCAGAGAAAATTTTCAAAAGAAGGTAATAAGATCAAGGTTTTGTAAAGGTAACAAGTTAGTGCCAGCCTCAGAACTTAATACAATTTTTATTTGTTCAAGATTGTTTTGAAGAATTTTAGGGGCTATGATAATCATTTTTGCATTGGGGATTGAAAATTACAAAAAAAATATATCGCGTATACGCACCAATATATATTAATTAAAATTCCTTATACGCAATCTAGTATACATTTTTACTCATAAATACTATTAATACTATATTTTCTATATGTATGTAGTCGACACTCTATAAATTGAAACCCCAGTAATCTGAGAACATTTTCAAAAAAATGTAATAAGATAGGAGTTTATTAAGTTTCGGGGTAAAAAGCGTGAAAATTATCGAAAAATTCAAATAATCAACTTTAAATTAATAATAAATTACGTATGAGTAATATTTTGCACGTATACCACTCATACGAACCAAGAGATAATAATTAAAATTAATTATACGCAACATAGTCCCTATTTATTAGGAGAAAAATAAATCTATTGTTGTCATATTCAAATATTTAAAATTTAAATTATTTGAATATTTATTTCTATTATTGAATATATTTTAATCATTGTTGCTAATTTATATATAACAATCAATTAATAATTTTTATTTATTATAATATATTTTTTTTGGATAATTTAAGTATTATATTAATAAAAAATAAATGTATTAATTATTAATTTATGCAAAACATGTAATAAACAAATAATATTAAATGATAATAATATATAAATCAGCAACAATGATTAAAATGTAATAAATAATAGAAATAAATATTAAAGAAACTTAAAGTTTAAATATACAGTCAACCATCGATAATTTAAATGTCACAATAATAATAATTTGATTGTTTTAAATTTGTTCTGTATATTTTGCATAGATTTTTAATATAAAATTATGTTTTATATTAGCAAGATCTTTTATTTTTGTTTTGCATTTTTAAAGTGTATAATAATAGGTTTGCAAAAAAAAAAATAAATATTATTAATTCATATTTATTTTAATTATTATTATTTTTTGCATTATTATTTTTTAATATTGAATCATTATCAATTAATTATTTAATTTAATAATATATGTATGCCGAATCATATTATTTTAATTTTTTATTCCGAAGATTTCTCTCTAGTTTATTTTTCAAAATTAAAAAATAAACTAAATAAAAAAATTCATTCAGTATTAATAAATTCTCCTTTGAAAGTGTGCATATTATTTATTATTAATATTATTTTTAATATGGTATTATTATTTATTAATTTGTTATGTTTACGAGTTTTGATTATTTCTAGCATAATTTCTTTAACTTTTTATTTCAAAGCAATATAAAATGTATGGATTTGTAAAGAGCATCAACAATGTAAGAGAAAAAATATTACAAAATATGAAAAGAGATCAGCAACATGAGAGACAGAGAGAGAGAGAGAAATGTAATATACAACTGAAAATTATTTAAAGAGACAAATCAAACAATGTCGAGCAAGCGAGAGAAAGAGAAAGACAACGGAACATGATTGAAAGCACAATCTGTAAAGCAACGGATAATAGTTAACAAGCACAGAGAGATAGAAAGAGACAGAGCAAGAAAAAGAGCGAGTAACAGTGAAAAGACAGTATTGTTTTTAAATAAAAATTTGTTTCTTTTATATAATAAATAAATATAAAAATATATATAATTCAGTTTTTAACATTAGTAATAGTTGAATTTTTATGTATAACAAATATTGTAAGAAATGTCATAATTTGTTTAAACATTTATATGCATGTTCATTTATGTTATGTTATGTATATATGCTGGAAGGAGGAGGACTAATAAAATACATCTAATACTTATAAAACTTAATTTAACATACCACTTTGTTTTGAATTTTTTAAAGAGAATTATAAAGCTTTTTGTAATTAGCAAGATTTTTTTTGGGGAGATCACAATGGGTTTTCTTTTAGAAAAATTTTAAAAAATATTTTTTAGAAAAAATAGTTTTTTTCTCAGCAATTTTTTTGTATATCAATTAGATTGATAAATAAATGTATAAGAAATTTATTTATAATTTTTAATTATTTTTCATTTTGTGTGTTTGTTTCTATTTTTATAATTTAGTCCTTGGTCGGTTCCACTCACCTGCATCGAATACATTATCACCGTTATCATAATCAAAGAACGATGAGGTTAATTCTTTTTCCTCAGAGTTGTCCACAATATTACCTGTTGATGAGGGCGTATTCTTGCAGCCGAACCACCAATGGGCCGAGGGACGGGGGAATTTGGGATCTGCAGAGTCAACCTGGTGAAAATAAAATAAAATTACTTTAATAATTATTTGAAACTCTATGAAAATTAGAAGGCAGGTCCCAAACTCTTCTATTTTTTTGGAAGTCAGAGATTTCCCTGTCCCTTTATTTTAAAATCGTATTCCATATCCAATACTTACTGCAAATGTTCTATCATTAAACCGATAGTATTTATCACCCTTAAAGAAGTAAGTATAACCATTGGTATATTGCAGGGCAGCATCCAGGCTATTTGGCAGACCTTCCCAATTTGAAATGGGCTTGGGATAGCTGGACTTCACTGGGGGCCTCTTCAAGGGATCGAAACGCCAGAATTTACTACCCTTGAAGAAATAGATTTTACCATTACCGCCCCAAACCATGGCCGCATCCAAGTGATCGGGAATGCCAGTAAAACCTTCGCTAATCTCTTTGGGATAATCGCCATCCACCTGGCGGCCATTGTAACGCCAGTATTTGGTACCCTTGAAGAAATAGGTTTTGCCATTTTTATAGGTAAAAGCGGCATCAATATCACCTGGAAGAAGTCGAGAAAAAATATTACAAATAAATTAAAAACAATTGCCATATCTCCAACTTACCGGGCAATCCTGGCCATCCCTCGGCAATCAATTTCGGATAACCATCCGCAATGGCATTCTCTGTCAATTTGTAGTATTTATTACCCTTAAAGGCATATGTCTGACCCTCGGCCGAATTAAAGAGTGCATCAATCTTGGGATCTTTACAAATCAAATCATCCCGCGGTGCCCTTGGTGGTGTAAAGGCAGGACGTTGTGTGGTACGTGGGAAGGCGCCACCACTTGTAGGATTTAAACCATTACCATTTTGTGTTGACTTTTTACCATACAATGCCTGAATGGCCAAAACATCATCGGTATCTAATTTGAAAACGGGTTCATAGCCACGATAGAATGGAGCCATCAAGGCGGAGCGAACATCCGAATGTGACAGACCCAACGAATGACCAAATTCATGGGCAGCAACTTGGAAAAGATTTGTACCACGAGGACTGTTCACTGTCCACTGTTCGGCATCATCAAAATGAGCATCACCACCGAAAACGGGGAAAAAGGCATGGGCCAAGGTACCGCCGACACCATCGAATGCATCACCATCACCGTGTTCACTTTCGACAAATCTAGGAGAGTGAGGGAGAAGAGAGAAAATATTTTTTTAATTGAATACAAAATTTGAGCAAATATTTTTGGCACAAAAACTTGGCCAGGCGAAAAAGACCAAATATTCTTGGAATACAAAAATTTGATTTGTAAAAAAAAAATAATAAAATTCTGGGCATTTTTTTAACCCAATTTTTTTGTAATTTTTTTTCGGTGCATAATTTTTTCCAATATATATGTGTATCCTCCCAAAAAATAATCATAATAATTATTTGCTCCCCTTTACTCACTTAATTTCAATATGAACAGGGCCGGATGCCTTGGGCGTGAAAGTCAAATCGGTATATTCACTCCATACGCTAAAAGCTTTGGCCACCTCGGTATCAACATCGGAACGCTTCAAACGTTTAGGATATTTGGAAATTTTATATGTCAAAGCCTTGACACGCCAACGGCTACCCTGCAGGGCATAACGTTTCGAACGGCTATCGGTACCGAAGCCAACCTTATCACGTACACCACAACGTGGCATTGACATCAAACGCATTGTTTCATCATCCAACTCGCCGGTGACATTTAGTCCGGCAAAACTTTGAAATTCCTGTACAGCTTTGGTCCATGTGTTGGCATCCAAGAGACCACCATTGGCGGGATTGCGTGCAGAGGCGGGTAAATAACCGAATTGTGATAAATATATCTGTAAGGAAAAAAGGTTAGGAAATTAGAAATTTATGAATTAAATATAAAGAAAAAACAAATAAATATAAGAAGAGAAATAAATTAAGAGCAAAGAGAGGTTTCGATTGTCTGCTCTCTTTATTTTTAATATTGCTGAGATGTATGGGAATAACAACAAGTGGTATTTTATTTATAGACTGTCTAGAGCACTAATGCACAAAATAGTACGATAGCGGTGATGTCTAAACACGTATTCTCTTTACTTCTCTCTTGGCCAGTCATTTTTGAATGGGATCTCTCACTTACGCTCTCACACACTTACTCTCAATTTAATTCTGTTCAACTCTGGTCTAGAGCAGAGTCGGGCGAACCACTGCACGCGTGCACTCTCGCGAGAGTAAATATCACTATTCTCTCACACACATTCAACTGAACCAATTGAAAAATCATTGACACACACACACACACACAAAGACAAGTGCGTGAAAACAGAATTTTTTACGCTCTGCCCGTGCCTGGTCTAGAGTTGACATTCTATGTTTATAGTTGCAAAAGAAGGAGTTGAGATACAGAGAGAGTGAGAGAAGAGGTTAGGAAATTCTCTTCTATTATTGTTTATCATTGCTGAGATTTATAAACCTCAATGTCCAGTTAGTGATTGACAAAAACAAAACAATTGACGTAAAGAGTGATAATTCGGGAGAGAAGAGATATATGGGTAGCCTCTCTTCTTTTTCTCACTATTTACCTAACCAGAGCAGATGCTAATATGAGAGTGAAGGGAGTATATCATTGTGAGAACTGGTAGTTTTTATTAGAGGTGTGCAAAAAGAGAGTAGAAAATAAAGAGAGGAGAGTAAAGGAGAAACCGAAATGTCTTACAAAAAGAGAACGCAGAGAACGAGCTTATTGATACATGTAAACATGGGCACCAATTCCCATGCTAGCTCAGCATTATTTTTATACTCTTCACAACACTGTGGGACAGGGTATTATGTCTTTGTGATATGTTTGCAACAGGCAATAAGAAACGAGAAAGACCCATAGTTCCTTTTGAGAATATGCATAGAATCACTTTCTGAGTCGAGTCGTCCGTCTGTCCAGGTTAAATTGTAAACAATGTTCAGGTCACATTTATGATCCGAATTGGATGAAATTTGGCATAGGTCACTTATTTGGCCCAAGAACGAACCCTATTGAAATAGGGAAAAATCGGTTCAGATTTAGATATATCTCCCATATATATTTTCGTTCGATTTAAGGTAAATGGTGCACCAAAGTATTTATATATCTTTCGATTTTCACGAAATTTGGCACAGCGTACTGAATTAAGTCTAGAACAATGTGTGCTAAGTTTCGTGAATATCGGTTTCGATTTAGATATAGCTCCCATATATAGTTTCGCCCGACTTTAGGTAAATAGAGCACCAAAGTCCCTATATATCCTTCGATTTGCACGAAATTTGGCATAGCGTACTGAATTAAGACTAGAAGGATGTGTGTTGAATTTTGTGAAAATCGGTTCAGATTTACATATAGCTCCCATATATATTTTCGTCTGATTTTATGTAAATGGTGCACGAAAGTTGCCAAATTCGTGGAAATCGATTCAGATTTAGATATAGCTCCCATATATATTTTCGTCCGATTTAATATAAAAGGTGTACCAAAGTCCCTATATATCTTTAGATTTGCACGAAGTTTGGCTTAGCGTACTGAATTGAGTCAGGAATGATGACTGGTAAGTTATGGGAAAATCGGTTCATATTTCGGTATAGCTCCCATATATACTTTCCTCCGATTTTATGTAAATGGTGCAGCAAAGTCGCTATATATCCTTCGATTTGCGATTTAGATATATCCCATATATATTTTCGTTCGATTTTATGTAAATGGTGCACCGTCGGCCCCTTCCGACTTTACTACTTTCCTTACTGGTTCTCTTTGCAGGAATAAAGTTGAGATGTGATTTTAGGGGGTTTACATAAACCAAATCTTTATCAAAGACAAAAGGCTTTATAAATATACCTTGTGTAAAGCACCCAAAGATGCATTTTTGATGAATAGGCAAAATCATATCCTTCACTGGGAATAAATCTATGCTGATCGATATTGATCTCAGTCTTACATGCTTTCAATAATCTTGTTTACATTATGTCTAATTAAACTCTATGAATCATATGTTTATGGGAAACAAAAACTTGGCAGCACTTAAAAATAAATGTTGCATATTTTTTTAAAAATAAACCTTCATTATTTGAAATTCATGCTGAGATCATTAAATTCCCTTTTTACTTGAACAGCATCGCAATATTTTCAAAACACTAAGAATAATTCTATGCTGATCGATCATGATCTCAAGTTGAAAATGCTTTCAATAATCATGTTTACATTACGTCTAATTAAACTATGAATCATATGTTTATGGGAAACAAAAACTTGGCAGCACTTAAAAATGAATGTTGCCCACTTTTTTAAAAATAATGAAGGTTTTCATGTGAAATTCATGTTGAGATCATTAAACTCTCTTTCAATTGAATTTAATTTACATTCCATATTTTATTTTCAAACACGTGTATAACAAAAATTTCTGTCAAATGACAAATTTATGATTAACACGATGAATGTTTGAATTTATTTATAGTTTATATTGTTGTCTTTTGTTTATAACCAAATGGTGATAAATTAATTTCATGACGAGCGTGAGTTTACAAATAAATCTGAGGGGTATTGATTTTTCGTTTGAGAAAAAATACTGCACGTTTTTATTTATTTTTTATTCTGACATATTTTATTATATTTTTATCACTATCATACAATAATTTACATATTAATTGTTGATATTTAACAAGAAATGTGGTTTGTTTTTTGCAAAAGGGTTTGAGAGGTTGGTGGAATTTATTATTTTTAAAATAAATTTAAAAAAAAAATTTAAAAATAATAAATTTCATCAACCTCTCAAATCCCTTGATTATTAAAAAACTAGTTTTTTATAATATTATATATTATATCCAAAAAAAGGTGGTAAAGGAGGTAAAGTGGAGAAAACTAACCTAGATTTTTAGTGCAGAAATCTAATAAAACGCCTTGAAATAATTTCAACTAAAAAAATTAAAAGACTCGAAAGAGTTTAAATAACTCACATAAAAATTACTTTCAAATGATCACTGCAAAGTCCAAATAACGTTTCTAAAAAATTTAAATCGCAAATGGAATATCTCTGCTGTAAGTCCACATTCAATTTGGATTATATGAGCTTTTCATTTTTCTTTCAAAATCCTATTTTGATCTATCCTGTTTTGATCTATATTTTTGGTGTATTGTACCGTATAATTACTATTTCTTAATATTACTTATACGCCACATAATTTAAAATTAAAATAAATCATACGCCCCATTGTTCTCTTAATGAAAATAATGGTTTTTAATGGTTCTAACAGAAGCATGGACATGTTTAGGTATAATAATTGTTCAATACCCATCATATTCATGTTTTTAAGAAAACAATTTGCAATAATAGACTGGTGGAAAATATTATTGCAATATTTTAGTTCTTTGAGGGTGAATTTTTTCAAGGTTCCAGATCTGATATAGTCACCACATAAAAGTCCCATCACATTTTCAATTTTTTGAAGGCTTTATCCGCCTATGGTTCCATGTTGTGGCATAACCCCCACATATAGTCCCCACAGTGACTGTAAGTGGACATTCTGGTATGTAGTAAAATGAAAATAAGATTTCCAGAATACCGATGTAGGACTATCTTTTGATATAGTCATATATAAAGAAGGATGCGAACCACTTTAGGTATTTTTAAGTGTTTTGATCCGATAGGTTGTAATTTGACGTTTCAGATTTCTGATGAAAAAAAATTATTTTCAGAATTTTTTGAAAACACCCTACTTATTTTCCGGTATATTGAAGTTCCGAGTCCAGTTTTTCGAATCTGAGTGTATGCAATTTGGTATTTTATTTTGCCAAATAAAAAACTCTTTGACAATTTTACAACGGCACAGTTTCAAAATAAAGGTACCGGCTAATTTTGAATACATAACACATGATGGAGGCTACAAAAATTTCAGACCGGCCTAACTCAACGATATTTTTTATATGTATATACCATATGTTTATACCCTTCACCACACTGTGGTATAGGGTATTATGTCTTTGTGCATATGTTTGTAACAGGCTAAAATAATCGAGATAGACCCATGGTTCCTTTTGAGAATATGCATAGAATCACTTTCTATGTCGATTTATGCATGTCCGTCCGTCTGTCCGCCTGTCTGTCCATGCTAAATTGTAAACAAAGTACATGTCGCATTTATGATCCGAATTGGATGAAATTTGGCACAGCTCATTTGTTTGGCTCAAGGACGAACCCTACTGAAATTCAGAAAAATCGGCTCAGATTTAGATACAGCTCCCATATATATCACCGTCCGATTTAAGGTAAATGGTGCACCAAAGTCCCTATATATCTTTCGATTTGCACGAAATTTGGCACAACGTACTAAATTAAGTCTAGAATGATATGTGCAAAGTTTCGTGAAAATCGGTTCAGATTTAGATATAGCTCCCATATATAGCTTCGCCCGATTTTACGTAAATAGTCTACTAAAGTCCCTGGAAATATTTTGATTTGCACGAAATTTGGCACAGCGTAATGAATAAGGTCTAGAATGATGTTTGCCAAGTTTCGTGAAGATCGGTTCAGATTTAGATATACCTCCCATATATAACTTCGCCCGATTTTAGGTAAATAGTCCACTAAAGTCCATGTAAATCTTTTGATGTGCACGACATTTGGCACAGAGTTATGAATAAGATCGAGAATGATGTCTGTCAAGTTTCGTAAAAATCGGTTCAGGTTTAGATATAGGTCCCATATGTATTTTCATCCGATTTAAGGTAATTGGTGCACCAAAGTCCCTATATATATTTCGATTTGCACGAATTTTGGTATAGGGTACTGAATTAAGTCTAGAATGATTTTGCTAAGCTCCGTGAAAAGT